AAACTGTTTTGCATTCACATTGTTGAACACAAATGTTGCATTCTTACATGACGCATGAGTTAGAAACATCTTTGTAGTTCAGCTATATTTGCATTTCCTGTAGATGTATGTCAATATATCAGAATATTCTGCACAAGTAACATAGGGCCTAATCGTTTATCCAAATTCCTTTTAAAAATCTGCTGGTTTGGCTGATACAACAACTAAAACAATTTCTTCTAAAATATTGAAATTCTTTTCACTTTACACAGTATTTTAATTTACTGATGTACATCTAAAATAATCTACAAGCATTTAGAAAATTGATCAATTAATATATAGGTACCTTGAATGTGTCAGGTTAAAAAGACTATTTTTTGTTATTTGTTAATGACTTTTGTAGCTTTAACTTGTGTTTGAACCTGCAGTTTGTTGTTGTGTTACTCATACGGTTTGTTGCAATCAGTTTCCCCAATTGGATTGAGTAATTCTACTGGAGTATTAGTTGTTGTTTTTTAAAATAAAAACCATTCAAGTTTATTTAACTTAATTTGAGTATGACCATGTAACTGTTTAAATAAGTATGAAATCTAACAGCTTTTTAGTCCAACATAATAAGTTGTTAAAGTTGCAACAAACTAAATGAAATGAGTTAATAAACTTATGCATTTGAGTTGCCTTAACACAATTGGTTTGTGTTCTTTAACTCTTTTTTTTATTAGTTTCTTCATCATCAGTGACTTTTTTCTTTAAACTCTAATCACATAATTAAAGAAACTCAAATAGTTTGAGTTACAAAACTTAAATAGATTTGTGCAATCGGTTTCCCCAAATCATTTGAGTTAACTTGTCGGGTTTTACAGTGTGGCTGAGAGTGTGGTGCGTCTTGTACTGCCTTAGAGATAACTAAGAGGTACAAATACGTATAACTGATACAACCTGCTCAAGCCACAATCAAGAAAAGACTGAACTGCATGTGAAACTAAATTTGTTCCACTAAATTCTCTCTTCTGGAGTAATTTGTTTAATTATGAAACAAATCATAGTTAAACAAAATCTACATTTATTTGTTTTAAAGAGTTTGTCATTTTAAATTATTTATCCTGACAAACTATTGTTAGCTACTAAAAGAAACTGTTCCAAAATCTTTTAAGTTAAAGTTAGATTCTCATTGGATGTGCTGCTGCACTATAAACTCCTGAGCTTTACATTAATTTTGCATTATATAGTTATTTACACGTAATTCTGTGGTTATGTGTGAGAACAAATACTGATAGCAGCAGCAGTTAGCTGTTGCACTTCTGTTTAAGCCTGAGGCACTTCTGCCAGAATAACAATAAATGTAATGTATTGTATTATAGAATTGTTTGTAGCGGTGGGCGCAGCTAACCAAAAAGTTATCTTTGCTAAATGCCATGCTAACTAAAAAAAGAAATTACATGCAAAAACATTAAAGCAAACAGGTAAGAAAATAAGCTAACTCAAACTGATAATTAGTTGTAACTGTATACTCTTTGTGCAACGCATCAGTTACAGACTTGATCTGTTCTGTTTCGGTACATTGTCCCTGCCAAATAAACCAATTGACACTGGTGGGCACAGTTACCCTAAAGCACTAAGGCACTAATAGGGGAACTAATTTCCTGATTAGTGCTTTAGGGCTTTTGCTAATTTTAAAATTTATTAGTGGATTAACACTTGCTAAATTTATAGGCTAAATTTYAATMSKCTYA